CCCCTCCAAGCATAGCCCCGCCCACACTCCAATTTTTTTTAAAATAAATTAATGTTTTTGAAAATTAAAAGTTAATATTAATTTTTTTATTTTTTAGCACGATTAAGAATTTTGTGTAGAAGTGAAAACTAAGTGATCTATTATGGGTCAATATGGATACCCATATTTTATCCATTTTGACCATATTTGTAGAGATTCTTAAAATAACTTGAAGCCCATATTTACCCAATTAAAATATGACTGATCCAAGTCATTAAATATGGATAAAATGGACCATTTCATTAATATGGACTGAAATTGTCACCCTGGAGTTAATTAGAAATGAATGGATTGGGGATGGTGAGCTTGGGGTGTTCATGGGGCTGGTTGAAGCCTTGGAGGACGAAGGGATGGGATTTTTTATGTAATAAATGAATTTCAAACAATTATACTTGCCACTCATTGAAATCTTAGCTCAATAAAGGAAAATGAAAAAAAGGATTACAACAATTCATAAATAATAAAAAATAAGAAACATTAATAATTGACATGAACTTATAAATCCAAGTCACAAGGGGATGTCTGTGAACTCTTGGTTGAAGAAGCAGGCACCCTAGGGCTACAGGATAGTTTCAGCTTCCTATGACTTGATTTCCAAATTCCAACTTTGAACCTTATCTTAGCTCTAACTTTAATCTCCACTTCCACAGCTCCTGATGTCCTCTCCGTCTTCAAATCACGAGCAATGTCTCCGTACAATGCAACGTCCTTGGCTGAAAGGAAAAGGTCCAAATAAGTCACGTTACGATGAGGCTGAAAGAATGTTTCCGCATTATTGAATGCAATCTGTAGAGAATTGTAAAACAGCTTCACTTCAACGCTGTCATAATATATGGATATCCTGCTATTTGGATTGTAAGCTTTTAACGTGAAGTTGAAATTTCCATACAAATGCTCATTTTTTGTCATGTTGTAATTGTGGAGTGATGCATTTTCAATTGAGTAAATTGGTCGTCGTGGCTTCACTGACAGCCAAATCACAAGTATTGTTAGCCCTACAATCACAATAATGGTTAACACTATAAGGGCTATGCACCTTACAGGGCTTAAACGCCTCGTCTTTGTGAGAGTTGCCATTATGAACAAGTTGTTAATGAAAATGGCCAATATTCACAACAACTAATTATATTATATAGAGAAGAAGGTATGTCGTGATAAGCTATTTTTTTCTAGCTTTAAAATTATTGTTCCATTACGTAGTAAAAGAAGTTAAAGGTTAGGATGATAGAGATGTCTTATTCTTTTCAAAGAAGCTTTAGGTTTCTTCAATGCAACTCAAGAGATCTCAGAGTTGTCATATTATCCTAGGAATATATATGCCTCTTCTTTTACTTTTTTCTGGAATAACTTTATTATGCTATTCAAATATGGATAATTGTGTTTACATGAAAAAGGGATATGTAATAATCTTCTTTTAACATTTTAGGTTAAGTTAGATTCCAAATCTATATTTTTTTCTCTCTCTTAAACTTCTATAGATAATACATCTTTAGTTTCAAGAGGAGCTTTCATAAATAGCCACTAAAATAATTTTAATTAGGCTTTATAGCTATTTACGATTCGTAGGTACATATTAGAGGGAGGAGAGAGCTAAGCGAGAGAGGGGAGAGAGGGGAGAGAGTGGAGAGAGACGAATTGTAGATATATCTATCGAATTGTTTATGTATATGTCACATAATTGTATATATGTAACTAGTATACATATGTATTTTGTATATCTGGCAAGGGAGATTGAGAGAGGGAGGAAAGAGGCGAGCGAGATTGGGAGAGGGAGGAGAAAGGCAAGCAAGAGAGGGCAGGAAGTGGAGAGAGGCGATATGTATTTGTATAATTTTGTATTTGTTTATGTATAAAAAAGAGAGAGGCGAGAGACGGGAAGAGAGGAGAGAGGAGACAAGTGCACGTAATTACAGCTAAAATTAAGTTGCGAGCAGTACTTAATTCAAACTATAGTTATGTTTAAATTAACTAGTATATTAAGTTGCGAGCAGTACATAATTATTTTTATTTATTAGTTTGTTAATCCCACTTTTCACGAACAATATTTCTCGATACTCTATAAATCTTATTTATTTAACACACGCTTCTTTTAATATTAATATATGTCCTAGAAAGAATGACATCTTTCTTTTTTGTATAAGCAATTTAAAGTGAATTTTCATTTCACCCGTTATCACATTAATTTTAACAAGACCAATTTCTATGACAATAAGTTTGGAAAAATCTTTCTTTCTAAAAATTTGTATCCAATGAAATATGTTTATATACATTTAAACGAAGAAATGTCTTTTAAGTGATCTGAATTATAAAGATTAAGCGTCTGAACTTGAAGCATATAATCCGTTGCCTCATAGACAGATTTTGGAAAGTGAACACTGTTTGATCGTAAAGAATAAAATAGACAGTACTCATTGCATGAATATTCTTATCTTGCATGAGGAGAAACATATAGGACATGATTGGCTTAACTATAGTAATATGATCCGTTAATAAAGAATTATGGAATGCTATATATATATATATATATATCGTGAATATTCTCGCTTATTTTACAAGTTATTCGTAAACCATCTCTAAAGTTTTCTACCACTAGTGAGGACTATGCATTGTAGCACTTTAGTTACTATATATAATATTCAGCAATTTGATTACCAATTTACAATCTCACATAATTAATATATGTAAAAATTAATTATTATTTTATGTAGGATAGAAAATTTGATGACTAGCTACTATATAAATAACTAAATCATGTATTAGTAATTAACATAGAGCATAGATATATAGTGTAGAAAATGGAAAATTTTTATTATGGTAGAGGCCCAACCAACCAAAATTGGATGAGGCTCCACCCATTTTTTGACACATGGATTGTGGGCCAATATGTGTACTTTGCAAGTGAAATTAAATGAAACAAAATAAAAATAAAGATAAATTTGTATATAGTACAATAAAAATGGAGGGAAAGAGAGTACTATTTTCCCTCCTTAATTAGGATCTTTGTCTATCATATATAAGCCAAACAAAGTAAAAGCTCTAAAACAAAAATACACCGTTGTTACTCTAAAACAAAAATACACCATTGTTGATCTTTTACTCTCTAGAGACGTTCAAATTTTGTTCAAGTAAAGTTCCGAAATATATAGATCTATGAACTTATTTCTTTTACTCTCTTTGTTCTCAATATTCTTTATATTTGTACAATGATATTTTCTTGCTAAAATTTTAAATAGAATGAGAAGTTATTTATTAATAATCCTCATTATACATATAGATAAATATATTTTATACACATCTTGAAAGCAAAAAATTGCATTATCTTGTGCAAAATGCTCAAAATTGTGACACAATTATCTATGTATCATTCATTGTTCTCATAAATGATCTTCATGCTTGGTAGAAAGTTCCTGACAATATAAGATATTAGTATTGGTAATTTCAAGAAATTTTGCATTCAAATTTAATGGTGATCACATATTTTAAATTAAATCTGAAATAAATTGTATAGTAAAACAAAAGGCACGTATTAATATTTTTATGTGCTAAGGTAATATTTGAAAAATAAAATTTTTAATGATATAATTTTTTTCTTGTGCAGATTCTGCTTCAAATTTAAAAAATGGAGGACGTACATGTTGATAAAGGGTCTTCTCTTCAAGAAGGTAATACATTTCATTTAAATGATATTTTCTTAATTCGAGTATGAAGGTTCTCTATTAAATAAATTCTATTTATATTTTTATCTATTTCTTAAGTTTTGATACTCAGAAATTAAAATTATTATTGTAGATTCCAATGTTAACGATAACGAATATTCTACAAGAGCAAATAATGTTTATAACATTAGCAAGAACTTTGCTTTTGAGATTGGTATGAAATTTAATTCTGAAGAAGAATCATACAATGCATATTCATATGCTCTGGCCAAAGGTTTCGGTGTTCGAAAAAGCTCAAAGACTTACAACATAAATAAAGAAGTAACAAGACGGTTATTTCTTTGTTCTTGTGAAGGGAAATTTAATAAGCTTTCCCTTTTTCAAGAAAGGAAACGACAAAGATTAGAATATAGATGTGGTTGTATGGCTCGTATAAAATTTAAAATTTCAAATGGGATATGGGAAGTATGTGAATTCAATGATGTGCATAGTCATCCAATGATAGAAGATAATTTGAAACATTTCATACAATCGGGTCGTAAGCTTACAAGTACTGCTACTAAAAGTATTCTTTGTTCTATGGTGGATGCCGGTATTCGTACAAAAAAAGTGGTTCGATACCTTCATAATGAAGTTGGTGGAATTGAAAATGCGGGATTTATTGAACAAGATGCCTCGTACAAAAAAAGTGGTTCGATACCTTCATAATGAAGCTGGTGGAATTGAAAATGCGGGATTTATTGAACAAGATGCTCATAACTTTATACAAGCACATAAGAGGAATATGATTAGTAGTGGAGATGCTCAAACCATGATAAATCATTTTATGCATTTACAATCAGAGGATTCAAACTTCTTTTATTCTTTTCAAGTTGATGAAGATGGCAGATTGTGTAATTTCTTTTGGAGAGATAGTATATCTAAATTGCACTATGAGTGTTTTGGGGATGTGATGATTTTTGACACTACTTATCGTACAAATAGATATGACATGATTTGTACTCCATTTGTTGGTGTGAATAACCACTGGAAAAATACTTTCTTTGGATGTGCATTTTTATGCAATGAAACAAGTGGTTCTTTTGTTTGGCTTTTTCAAACATTTTTGAAAGCAATGGGAGGAAAAACACCAAAAACAATCTTTACTGATCAAGCTCCTGCCATACCTTTTGCTATTAAGGAAGTTTTTCCTGGAACATGTCATAGATTGTGTGAATGGCACATTGATAGAAATGCTCAAAAAAATATACCACATCTTTACTTTAAATCAGGATTTCGATACTGCTTTGATACTCTCTTGTGGAGGTGCAATTCAGAATCAGAATTTGAGTTAGTATGGAAAAAATGATAGATGATTGGGATTGTGCAAGTAATACTTGGCTTCAAAAATTGTATGATCTGAGAAAAAAATGGTGTCCTGTATTTAGCCGTTCTACTTTCTCAGCAGATATCAAATCGACCCAAAGAAGTGAGAGCACAAATAGAGTCTTCACTGAAATGTCATGCAAGACAATGAGTATAACGAAGTTTGTAAAGCATTATGAGCAACAGACAATTGAAATGCGTGATATTGAAGCTATAGAGGATTATAAATCTCGGGGTGATCCTAAAATTTTCATTGAAGATTGTGGGATATTAAAACATGCTGCTAGGGTGTACACCAAGAGAATTTACACAAGATTTCAACATGAATTTCTACAAGGGGCAATCAAAAGAGTAATCAATGTTGAAACTGAAGGGAGTCTAACAAAATATACAATTTTAAAGGGTGAAAGTGAGAAAACTGAAATTGTCCAGTTCAATGCTCTTGACAATTCTATTATTTGTAGTTGTCATATGTTTGAATCCATGGGTTGGTTATGTTGTCACGCACTTAAGGTTTTGTTCTTTGACTTGAATTTTTCTTCTACCTGAGAAATACATTTTGAAAAGATGGTCTAAGAATGCTAAGCATGAGAATGGATTTGCGGAGTACACCAAAAAGAAGGGAACAACAAAATCTTCTATGGCAATTCGCTTGAACGGGTTAATGAAAGAATCATTTATTGTCATGACTTTAGCTGCAAATGATACAGATTCAGAATAAATTGCTAGAAGGTACTTGTATCAAGCAAGAGTTGAGATTACTAAGCATCAAAGCGAATTGTATGGTGAAAATTTTGACAAAAACAGACACAAATTTGATTCATCTGTTGATCCTTTTATTGGGGCTAAGGATCGAATTTTGGATCCAATTAAGAAAAAAGGAAAGGGAAATGGATATTCAAGAATGAAGCCAAAAGGTGAGAGAGAAAAAAAAAGACATCAAAGGTGACATTCAAAAGCAAAGCAGGACAAAAACATGAACATGGAAAAACAATGAATTTTGACATACAATCAGCCTCAATGCAACAAATACAACATGAATCTATGGGATTAAGTTTTGAGGTTTGTTCTCTCTTTAACAAGTTAAATAATTTTTTCATTGTTTGTTATTGTATTCATACATATACTAATCTTGATCTGGTTTTTTTCCTATATCAAATATGCAGTTACATGGAGATTCATCCAATATTTTTCCTCAATTTTTGACTCAAAATCTGAATTCACAATCTGAAGCTTGCATGCAGAGTCAACAATCAAACAAACAGATATTTGAAGAAAATTCAATTTGATCTTCGGTGCAGATCTTAATTTTTTATATTTGAAGCATTAAAAATCAGTGCAACAATTATTTTTTTGTATTTTGACATTACAAGTGACATGCAAAGCAAGAAGATCCATAGAGATCTATTGTCAAATATATATATGTAATATGTTTTTGTTAATTTAATTGTGTTGATAGTATTAAAACGTTCAAGAAAGACGAAGAAAAATTCGTACCTGAAAATCATAAATAGATAAAAATCGCAGAAGAAGCTTTAAGGAGAATCATTCATATCTTCATCCAATTTTTTAAGAAAGTTGAGTGAACCTTGTTCATCTTCTCTCTCTTTGATTTGAGTGAACCTTGTTCATCTTCTCTCTCTTTGATTTGAGTGAACCTTGTTCATCTTCTCTCTCTTTGATTTGAGTGAACCTTGTTCATCTTCTCTCTCTTTGATTTGAGTGAACATTTAATACATGTAGACCCCATTATTTACTTTTTGATTATTTTTTTCAGCCTTTATGTTAAGATGATCATAATCCACGTGTCAAAACGAAAGTACAGCTACGATGAGGCCAAATGAAGTTCACTACACCATTTTAGGCTTACGACCACACTAAATCTGGACAGCGCTTGTAAAGTGTTGCCTAAAATATTTTTGGGAACGCTTTTAAAATGTAGCTTAAATTTTTAACTTTTGGCATCGATAATATTGGCAACACTTGTAAAGCGTATTTTTTAATGGTATAGGCTACACTTTATAAGCGTTGTCATAAAATGAAATAAATGGCAACAACTATTTACATATATGGCCACACTTTTAAAGTGTCCTATTTTTATAATTATAAAAACAACACATTAAAAGTGTGGCCTAAAAGTTTTCACCAAAATATTATATTCCCTCCAACATTTTTAACTCTCCCTCCCATTTTTATTGGCCAAAAATATTAATTGATAAAACATTAATAAAAACTTTTCTTTCTCTTCTTTCCTAGAACATAACATATGCTTTACTCTTCTTTCCTTGAACATAACTCTTTGTCTGTAGAACAAGTTTTTCTCCAGAATTGAAGATCGAAGAGAGGAAGCTGAAGAACTGAAGAGCTGAAGAGCTGAGCTGAAGATTCTCTTCTCCAGAACCTGATTTTCTTGAAGAGATGAAGAGTTGAAGCTAAAGAACTGAGGATCGAAGAACTGAAGAGAGGAAGCTGAAGAACTGAGCTGAAGATTTCTCCTATACCGATTTTGTGAAGCGTAAGTACCGATTTCGTACAGCTGAGATTCCTTTTTATTCTCTACTAATCATCTAGTACTAAAAACAGTCAATTGATTGAATTTTTGTTTTGTGTTTAGAAGGAATTGATTACTTTGGGGGTTCTTACAGCTGAAATTTCAAAGTAGGGGAAGAAATTGTGAAAAATCTGAACACCAAAGTTAGCCCTAAGCATATTGAGCAGACGAGAAAGAGGGAATTACTACTC